TGTGGCAGGAGACAGGAAGTCATGAGGAACAGATGCTGCACTAGTTCATAATTTACTGAGCATCATGCAAGACTGGGCACTACACTAAGGGAAACATAATAATAACGCACAACCTACTAACCAGCCCACTGCAAATAAGAACAGAGCACCAACAACACAAGCGAAGGGCAAAGAATATGCAACACAGAGCCAGACTGTAGCATACGTACTGCCCATATCCTTGAGGAACAAATTCTGTATTTAACACTAAAGTAAGTGCTTGACAGTCATCTAAATCTGTTGTTCTTGTGATGGTTTCTACAGATTACATCGATAGACCAGTAGGTGATGACAAGTGACTGACTTTATGAGTAAGTCATTGGTTGCATTCAGAACGGCATACCTAGCATGCTACTCTTATCTTTTAAAGACAGCAGAGTAATAATAGTATGCTGTGAGTTCTGTATTACTATGATTGAGTCAAATTGAGTTATCCAAACCAGATCCAAAAACATTGATTCATTCAGAAACTAAACGAGTCACAGTCTTTAAGAGTGAGTTACTGAATCATTCATTTAACCAGTTCATTCAAAACACTGATTCAAATTAAATAACTGATTGGCTATGTACAAATCACATCCTCTCTTAGTAGGTAATTCTTTTGAATACGTATTTATTTTGTAACTATATAAAAAGTATGTATTCATGTAGTATGAGTGTAATTTGGTCATCATGTTGTCATTGTTCATGGTGCCATTGTAATGCGACCTTCTGGCATTTCATAAATACTTAATTTTAAAAAAGTGTTTGCAGTTTGTAAAAACATTTAGCCTAATTCATTTCACAAATATGAAAATTTCTTCTCATTTTTCTTCCTACTTTTATCACTTTTCTGTTTCTGTAAAACATTCAAATAAAAGCTACAGTTAAGAAATATTCAATGTCTTAGAGAAACATGTAATGATAACATAATGTAATACTAAATTTATTTATTAATATATAAATATTTTTTTCCACATATCAGTAAATATGTCTTCTCTCATATCTGTGATGCTGCTTTCACTGACCATCTCATCCCTGCTGAGTTCATGTTTCCAACTCCTGCTGCAGAGCCAATCATGGGTGCCCCTAAAAAGGCAAATTTATAAATGCTGACAAAACTGTCAAAATGTTATCATCAAATGTTATCATCAATAACTGACATATGGCAAGAACAGTCAAAAGCATACTCACAAACACACTCCATTTTTGTGAACGTGGTCAATTGTTCCCAAATCATTAGTTATTGCCAGCCAGAGGGTCATATATGATGATATGATACACACAGGATAAAAAGCTGTTGCTAAATTTATGAGTGCAGCTGATAATTATCAGACTGTCTGAAGTTTAAATAAACTACAGTGATTTAGTCTCCCAACAAAACAGAAGCACAGTTTTATTAATATGCCTAATCAATGTGCTAGTTTTACTTTTATTTATGTATTGATTAATTCTAAAAATAGAGATAATTGAAAGTTGAATTATTATCTAAATTGTTGAGTGCAACAATCCGTTGTGGTTGTGTTTTGTTCCTAGGCCTCTCTAGAGACACAACAATGTAGATGTGTGATAATACTTTATGTAATGCCAATGAAACACATGCCCCACTTTATAATATAACTTAATATCTAATAAGCTGCTTCAGAATGAACAGATAGTAATGGGAGACAGATGTTCACCTAGGAAACATGTGCAACTGAAGGGAATATATACTGATGATTTCCAGAGGGAGAGGTGCTCATACTCCTAATATCTTTCATACAAGAATGAAAGAGAGAAAGGCCCCTTAGGGACAACAGAAGAGTGGGACTTATAAAAAGACAGAGGCAAAGGAAATGACTATTCCTCTTTCTACATTGATTAATAAAAAAAGTTCAGAGTATGCACCACATTCTCCCTACAACACAACCACATAATGATGCTATAGAATACTACAACAAAATGGCGAGGTGTGCATTAACACAGTAATATACACCAAAATATATAAGGAAGTCACTAAAATTAAAATGTTTTTAGTATTCACTTTGGTCACCTATGTACAGTTAGGTCCATATATATTTGGACACTGACACAATTTTCATAATTTCGGCTCTGTATGCCACCAGAACACAATAAAAAATAAAACAATCAAGATTAAATTGAAGTGGAGACTTTAAGCTTTAATTCAAGGGGTTGAACAAACATATAACATAAAATGCTTAGGAATTTTTATACACATTCGCCCCATTTTCAGGGGCTCAAATGTAATTGTACAAATAAATATAATCATAAATAAAATGTTCATTTTTAATATTTTGTTGAAAATCCTTTGCAGGCAATGACTGCCTTAAGTCTGAACTCATGGACATCACCAGAGACTGGGTTTCCTCCTTTGTGATGCTTTGCCAGGCCTTTACTGCAGCTGACTTCAGTTGTTGTTTGTTTGTGGGTCTTTCTGCCTTCAGTTTTGTCTTCAGCGAGTGAAATGCATGCTCAATCGGGTTGAGATCAGGAGATTGACTTGGCCATTGCAGAATATTCCACTTTTTTACCTTCAAAAACTCCTGGGTTGCTTTTGCTGTATGTTATGGGTCATTGTCCATTTGTACTATGGAGCGCCGCCCAATCAACTTTGCTCCATTTGACTGAATCTGGGCAGAGAGTATATCCCTATACACTTCAGAATTATTCTGGCTGCTTCTGTCCTCTGTCACATCATCACTAAACACCAGTAATCCAGTGCCACTGGAAGCTATGCATGCTCATGCCATCACACTGCTTCACCATGTTTCACAGATGATGTTGTATGCTTTGTATCATGAGCTGTTCCAAGCCTTCTCCATATTTTTTTTCTTCCCATCATTCTGGTACAGGTTAATCTTAATTTCAGCCGTCCAAATAATGCTTTTCCTGAAGTAGTCCGGCTTTTTTTTTTTTGGCAATGTCTAATCTAGCCTTGTTTGCACCTTGTTGTGAACGCTCTGTATTTGCTCTCGTGAAGTCTTCTCTTGATTGTAGACTTTGACAGTGACACGCTTACCTCCTGGAGAGTCTTCTTTACTTGGCTGGATGTTGTGAAAGGGTTTTTCTTTACCATGGAGAGGATCCTCCGATCATCCACCACTGTTGTTCCTTGAAAAAGGGGGGAGGTACATATTAAAGAGCTGTATATTCCTTAACCTTTCGATGAGATTACCCTCAAATTAAAGCTCAGCTCATATTCATTATATAACTGTAACTTGAATATGTTTTGGTCAGCAGCTAAAATAATAAAAAATTGCGCCTATGTCCAAATATATACGAACCTAACTGTATGGCACACTTTTATCAGATTTGTCTAGATTGTAATGTCATTTGTTTTATTGTTATAATGATTATTGTAATGCAGTATAGCACCATAGTCTATGTAAATGCAAGAGCAAAATAAATATTTTTCAGTTAAACAACTTATCCCTACAGCAGTTGAAAAAAGTTGTGATTTCAAATCTGAATTCATTTGCTAGTTTTTGCATGAAAAAAACATCAACGGAGAAATATTACATCTCAAATGTCTGTTCTGCTACATAACCAGTTGTGTAACCAAAAAAAAAAAAACTGGAGAAATAAGTGGAAAACATTATACAAATATTATTCACATTACTCAATTCCTTTTTAGTTAAAGCCAAATGTACGTATTTTTTAGATCTTATGAACAAATTATGTTTTTTTTTTTTGACCAAGTGTTTAATCAAAACGTCATAACTCAAACTTAAAACTCTGTGAAAACAGACTTCTTTCTGGTGATGTATGCAAAATCATCTAGGCCACTTAAACTGCATCCCTGAACAATCGACTGCAAGCCCATATCTCAAAACCCAATCAACAACCGGTGGATAGATCCCACTCTACATTGTCTTTTTCAATAATCTTTTACACTTGGCTGTATGTCACAATCACAGAAAAAAATGTTGCTACTTTAGTTTGATCGCAACAAATTTCAAGATCTTTAAGATGAGTTAGAATAACTACAATAAATCTACATTAACAATATTATTTCAACTTGAAATCTTAATCTGTATTTGTCAGCTTGACTATATGAAACCATGTGGGTAAGGTAGCTAAATCATGAAATGTGATGGTAGGAGGCAGAAATTTTTAGAGGCTTCCACCTAGACATCCAAATGACTGCTTTAACGTCACATCAGGGAGTCGAAACAGAAGAGGTCTCAGCATGTCTCAGATGCCACAGATTATGTAAGAACTGTAGTTGACAAAACGGGTTACATAACAGTTAAAACATGTTAATACATCAGAAAAGTAAACATTTTATTACTAAAAAGATAACACTCATGTAGCCATTTTCATTTTCCTTCACAATCAAATCTTTCAAGTTTATATAAAAAAAAAAAATATCCCAGTTAGAAAAAAAAAAAAGGTTTTACACTGCGAAAACAGAATTATTTACACTGTAAAATAAGTGATCACCCGTCTGTCAGGGCATATCTGAGAGACTTTTTCTATTATGCTTCAATGGAGGCATAGAGGGAGGCACTTCCTACCATACAACTTCAACATTGGGGACTTTAAATATAAGCATCATCTCTAACAGGCCTGGTATACTGAAATTGGATCGTAATGTGGTGCCAAAGTCAAACTCGAGAGATAACTATAGCAATAACAAGTGGCTAATATACACCAATAGAGACTAATGATCCAAAAAGTAGATTTTTCAAATTAAAACAGCTTTAGAGTTTTTGGAAATCCAGGTAAATTTACAATTTAGCAGTCGAAAAGTGACAATTTGGCATCATTCACTAAGATAACACCTTAAGGACCCACGTAAATTAAATTGTTTCTAAAATCGATCTCTTAATAGGACAGGCTTGTAAGGTGGGACAAATAAAATGGGACAAGAAGGTTTCTAGTGTGATCTCCAGTATCATTTGAAGTAAATGTACTAGAGCAAAACCAATATTTTAAACCGCTGTACATGATGAACTAATGTGTACTGTTTTCAACAGGAAGGTGACTGTATGAAGTTACTAACCAGCAAAAGTGGTGCACTCCTTGTTTAGATAAAATAAATCTAAATTGAAGCCACTGGTTTAAATGGTCACCAAAAAGGACACATTTGCATTATAATTGGAGAATCCCAAAATAATTTGTCTCTCTGATATGCTTGCCCAGCCATTTCTTGCCTTCAACATCTGAACAATAAACTAACCTATAAATGCTGCATTTTGCACATTTCGTTCACTTCTGAAGTTAAATAAGACAAAGTCTGATAACTGCTAAACATGCCTCTCTCTCAAGTGAATGACAATGTGTTCATATGTACAATAAAAACAAGACCATTCTGAGAGATCTGAATCAAAAATGACTGGGCAAAACAAAAATCACTAGAAAATACATGAATAAAAATAGAAAATTTAAAGTCTTGTGATGATTCCAAACATTCTGAGCTTGAGTCTATTGGCTCAGTCCTGGAACAATGGACAGTCACAGGTTAGACATTAAAGTATCATATCTTCTCCTGAATGAAAGGGTGCTGTAGGGCTTGGTTGATGCTCATGCGTTTAGCTGGGTCCAGCATCAGAGTACCGTCCAACAGATCTTTAAGCTGCATGACCTTCTTTCTCTGATCCTCAGGTAACCTCTGACCTCCGATCATGTCTGCGAGCAGGTCTTTAGTGGGGTTAATGGTGCTCATCACGGTTACCTTCTCCTGAAAGTTTAAAAGAATGTGTGAGAGAAGGTGAAGGGCATGAAACAGATGTAAGCTGTTATCATAGTTGTGTGAATGGCATCAAAGCCAATAAGAGAAAATAACACATGAAAGTGGAAACCAACACATGAACTGGAACGTACCCTTTCAGTCACTTTGTCTACCTCTATATACAGGAAGTTCAAGTTCTGGTCGAAATGTTGGTCTTTAAACAGGCCTTTCCGGATCATCTACACAACAATTAAAAAAACACAATGTAAGAATTTATACATAAGAATTAAATGCCATAATAAAGTGAGTAAACATTATTTACAGTTTTTCTCAGTCACTTTGGTGCATTTCTCAAATCAGAAATGAAATTCTCAAAAATACTTGTTCAACCTCCACATCATCTGGTCACTTGTGCACATCATAAAAGCAGTTTCTCATTCTTTTGAACAATTTGCGATTGCTTTGGTACATTCATGCAACTCATTATGTATATTTGTCTGCGGTTTCCTACATTATCAGTTGCTATTGTCATGTTGCTTGAAACATCCCCTCAAGTCTTACCCCTCAAAACATCTAGGCCTAGTCATTAGTTCATCGTACAAATCAAAATGGATGATCTAGTTGTCAAACTGTCAAGCATGTTTTCGACTCATTTCTATTAGATTTTTGTAAATTTGCCATGAATTGTGCAAGGGAATCTTGACTTTCAATAATAAAGAGAATGTAGATCAACCAATGATAAACCAGTTCTCTGAAATAGCTCAAAGGCATTTATCATGAACCTTCAATTGGAAAGCATATATAGACAGTGGACAACACAAGAGTTACAAATTCTGACAATCATTTTGTAATTTTTTTATTTTTACCTTTGTGATCTAGAAAAGAAAAAGAAATATGGGCACAATGATGTTGTAATGTGTTTTTTATTTTTTGTCAGACCACAGTTAAAAGTGTAACTAGGCCTGTCATGATAACTTTTTGTTGTGCGATATATTGCGTCACCAAAAATGATTGAGGTCATGTACATATATTGCACGATATATTGATTATTGCGACAGGCCTAAGTGTAACTGTGAATCCTATCCAGTCTATTTCAATCAATATCCCACATACAGTAATGTGTAAATTTGTACTTTTTAAATGGATATTTGGCATACATAAGTCCCGCTGCCCTGTATCTTGGTCTCTCATTGGCTGTAGGTCATCGCCGATGTGTTTTTCAGTCAGAACTCATTTCACACAGCGTGATTGTGAATCGCGTGAACGAGTACCGATTTGCCTCCGATTTCGGGCATTTGTGGGCGATTTAGCAAAACCTGCGGGATATTGAAAAATCGGGCTAAAATCGTGCAGTGTGAACTCGGCATAAGCATATTGACGATCTTGTTTGTGAACAATGACACAAGGACTTTTCATTCTGATGGCATAAACACATAAATACTTACCTTTGAGAGATGAACAAAAGATTTTGAGTAAGTTACAGGCTTTTGCAGGTAATCCATTTTGTGGTGCTGTTTGCACTATTTGTTTTGAGAAATGCACATACTTCTTTGCAAATATTAAGGATGATGAAAAACTGTAAAAATTATTTTTAATTGCAAATTTCATAGTTTTTTTCCTTTAAATTTTACATGTAACAAACAAGCAAGTTACGAAAAAGAAAAAAAAAAAGTTTGAATACTCTGGTTCAGTACCTTGTTGGGCATCTTGCCCTTCAGATCCATAGCCAGCTTCAGCATGTGGTTGTTGGAAGAGCCAGGGAACAGGATCTTCCCAGTGTATAGCTCATACAGGGTACAGCCGACTGACCACATATCAATGCCATAATCATACGGTTTACCAATTACTGGGAAGAAAGAGAAAGTTAGATCCAATTACTAGGGCCATTCACAAGTTCAGCTGTGATTGAGGGTGTGAAAAAATCTGTGGAAACTAAAATATGAACATAGGTATACCTGCTAATCACACAGCTACAATGCAACTTACCGATTTCAGGTGCCCTGTAGAATCTGCTGACTAGGTAGGGAGTGATTTCATTGTCAGCAACATGAGATGCAGAGCCGAAATCACAGAGTTTAAGAATGGTCTTTGATTCATTCACCTGCAGACAGAGAAAGTGAGTGAATGAATGAAGTCTCTTGAGTGAGCAGCCATACAGATAATGCTCACCAATATGTTGTCTGGTTTGATGTCAGCATGGAGGATGTTGCAGCGTTTCAGTAGTTTGAGGGCCAAAAAGAGCTGCTGACTGTAGGAACGAACTGCCTTGATGTGCAGCCCCACATCTTTACCATACTTCTTAAGCACTTCCCGCAGATTCATACTGATAGAGACAAACACAGCGAAAAACAGCTGTGAATGACTGTATTTTGCATTATATTTAAGATAATATTAAATGCATTTTATGTTAGTTACCATTTTAACATTAATATTCGTATTTGTTATGATATTCATTTTGGAATTAGTTTGATGAGGCTGATTAGGGAAGCTCCTCATATCAAGGCTTAGTTCAGCCCCATTTCAAACAGGTGTACACTTTGCCGATTTCATCATTTTAAAATACTAAACATTCACCTTTTCTAATGGCATGAAAATGTTTTGATGCCCTATTCACAAAGAATGTAAAATTCTACATGTATATATCTATCAGGGATGCAAACTCATCATGGATGGAAAAGTGACAAGATGTATGTCATTTATTTCTGTAATGGCAAAGCTGAATTTCCAGGAGCCAAAAAAATTAATAAAAATCTTATAAAAAATGTTGAAAATAGTCGCACTGCTTAATTGTGAAAACTGATGATACTGGCTCCAGCTAATTTTTGCATTGGCATCAGCCAAAATATATATTGCATCCTTAGCAATTTTCTCAAACACAAGCAGCAGCCATGAAATACCTGAGAGGTTCAAACACCAAACAGAGATGCTGTTTGTGGTAAAAGTGTCTGAAGAGCCGCAAACAGTGAAATTTATCATCAGGATCTGCATCATTCAGCTTCTTTAGAAATTCAAGCTCCTTCAGTCCCGTCTTCTGCCTGAAGACACAACAAACAAAACCATTGACTAAAAATGGCTTTCTCAGCCATGACTACAATAGATTAGATATGGTTGAAAACTTCTAACATTTGGGTAAAACATAAAAGAGCACAAAAGCAAAGTTACAGTGACAGCCATTGTTTAGAGGAGTACTTACATGAGCTCATTGTTTCGGATGATCTTGACTGCCACCTCCTGGCCAGCCCGGGCAGTGTCTCTAGCTCTGACCACATTACTGAACACACCCTGTCCAGTGTACCCATACACATCATACCGCTTGTCCAGTATCTCACCGATGTTCACACCTAAAAAGAGATTCACTTTTAAAATTTAAACTGCACTGCCTTTAGGAAAGAAGCAAGACTTTGGATTAAAATAAGGCTTACGGTAGTATCCTTCTGCATCAGTCCAGTTATCCCTGAGATTGGGGTTCTCCTTAAAATCTTTACCAATACCCGCAGCCCTCAGTCTGGCACTCTGTAATGGGAGTGACAAAGCAGACAGATCTCTCAAAATAACCAATTGGTTTAATCTTAAAGCTGCAGAAAGGCCAAATAAGCTTACATCAAAATCTGCAGCAAACATGTCATCTGACTCCGTGAACATGTCGGGTGCTGAGGGCTTCTTTGGGTTGGCTCCTGCATAAAAGACAACAAGAGTCAATCAATAGATTACAGATTGTTTGATGTATCTTTATAGGAAAAAGACCATCCAGTTGTAACATTAAAATTGCCCCACATTCCCTGAAAACTGTTTAAGCAAGAACCTGCTAATAACCCAAATTATGCCAGAGTATAATACCTTCTTTCTCCTGAGCGATGAGGTTGGCCTTGGCCTTGATGTTGGCCTCAAAAGTGTTTACATTCTCCCGCTCATATTCCTTTACATCAGCTGCTACCCGTTCCAGGATGTCATCAGGGGAAGGTGAACGACTGCGGGTGCTGCTCTGAGGACTGCTGGGCTCTGATGCCATGGAGCCCATATTGCTGTCCTCATTTACTGCTTTATATTTCTATATCAATACAGGAACAGTTTCATGGATGTATAATCTGATCATGTTCTCTCAAAAAGAAGTAAGTTACAGTCTTTCAGAAAAATTTGCTATATTTTGTTACCTGGACAATGGCAAGTCGCTGTTGTCGTCGCTGCTCAATCAGAGCCTCTTCATCCTCCTCTTCAGCATCAAAGTCCTCCATCCTAAACATGTTCATTAAGGTGAATTTCAAATAAATGAAAAGACTCAAAAGACTCAATCACTTCTATGACAAGATTATTACCGTTAAATGCAGCTATATTCTCAAATAGGAGTATTACAATACAAATATCAGTAAAATAATACTTTACTAATAACTGTATTAGTAAAATTACTACTATTCAACGATGAACTGCCTTTAACTGAAAATTGAGTGTTTACGATTGTCCTTTTGCATTATTGACACCTATTCCTATTTGATACTGTAAAGCTGCTTTGACAATCTGTATTGTTAAAAGCGCTATATAAATAAAGGTGACTTGACTACAGAAAAATATATTTTGCCATTAAACATGCACTAAAAACTCTTACAATCCTCAAATATAAGTCTCTTATGCTCAGCAAAGCTTACACTGTAAAAAAAAAAACTGCTGTAAAAACAGCCAAATTCTGACAATAACACACACTGTTTTCCATTAAAACAGTAATGTACTGTAGAAAACAATGCATTCTGGACAATATTCTGCACAGTAAGCAAATGCCGTTAATTTACAGCCCATTTTCAACACTAATGTTTGTACTGTAGTACGTAATGCACTGTGGTCCAGTCCATTTGAAGAAATAGCACAATGGCAGTGAATGGGTGTTTCACAGGAGTTTGAGTACAAGTCTTTGCCTGTCCGTGTTCGTGGCACTCATGACAGGAATGTGTAAAAAACAGAAGAAAGCAAATTGAAATCACTCATACAATGAGTGTTTATAAGTGAATGATTATACATGTATTAAAGGAAGAGGGTAAAATCCTGTCGATTCACTGTAATACACAGCCTAATTTATTCTCAACTTTGTGTGTTTCTTGGTGGCACTCATCCTGATGGTTTTGGCCATATATAGTGCCCTTTGGTAGGAAAAAATAAATAAAATAAAATAATAAACATAACTGATCATATACCGTATTGGCCCGAATATAAGACGACCGCGTTTTTTCAGATGTATTTCCAAGAAAAAAATATCGTCTTGTATTCGGGACAATACGGTATGTCCTTAAATTGTATTACATATTAAGCTTTTAAAATGCAATTTTGTTTAATTGTATGAGCTTTATTTTAATCGTTTGCTGCACTTTTTCTTACATATTCATGATTTTATACCTGCTTATTTTTGTCCATTTTGCTTATAAATAAATGTTCACCTTTTAATTAGTCTATTACTGTTGCCTATGTTTTACTGTAGTAATTCATGGTGATTTTTTAAAATTTCCAACATATTGTTCCCTTTCTCACCCAGTGCTGGGTTGCCAAAATGACCCAAACTAGGTTGTTTTTAAAGCATCATTTCTTAAGAGTGGTAAACTGAAATTGAAATACTTTACTTTCAAATGCCCTAATTGCTGAAGGGTCTGCACAACTTTTTAGTACAATTTCAAGTTGCACTGTTCAAAATACCTGTAGTAGCACAGCAGTGCATACCTGTTTACATTTAATTAAGGTGGACTAGATTAGACTGTAATACAAATAGTTGCGTTTGCCAGGTGCATACAACATTTATGACAGGTTTTCATGAGTGTTGGTCAGTTTGTCTGCTTGACAATCCCATTTCGCACTGCAACAATAAAACTGAAGTGAGAAACAAACTGAGAAATGGTTCTTTTTAGTTAAAACAGATGTTGTCAAAGTTTTCCTTTGGGGACATAATTTGAAGTTGGAAAAAGGTAATAAATTGCAATATATCGCAGAATATCGCAATATATTTAAAATCGCAATAATATTGTATTGTGACACAAGTATCGTGATAATATCGTACCGTGAGGCCACTGGTGATTCCCACCCCTAGAGTTTATACTGTATGTGCGTGTGTTTGTATGAGAAAGAGCTGGAGAAAGATTTAATTTGTATATATTTTAATGTAATTTCGTTGGGAAAACGTGGAAATAGTTTGTCATGCGTAGGCATGGGCCGATTACCGGTTTCAAGGCATACCGTGATTTGAAAATGGTTTCAAAAACCACTTTCAAAACCGCTAATATTTTCCGTTATACCGTTCCTGCGGTATGCGCTGTTTTTCAGGTCTCCTCAAAGACTGAAAGTGTAGGAATACCTCAGGTTGAGTGCAGTGTAGAGAGTAACACGACCCCTTCTCCTCCTGTTGGTGCGAGCGAGCTGTCAGTCACGTGTGTGTAATACTGTAGCAGGCAGATCACTCACTGTTCATGATGCACGAACTATTGGAAGAAAATCTTCAATATTGATTTGGGGGTTTATATGAATGTGTTTCTGAGGGGAAGTGACTGTCTTCAGAAAAGTTTACGTGGTATTTTTTTTTAATCTCGTCTCTGTATAAATACCGTGATACCGTGAAATTTTTGCTTAAGGTTATCATACCATCAAAATCTCATACCTAGTCATGCGTTTCATATTGTTTGTTATACTTATTTTCTTGATAAATATATTTTTATGTTTTGCTTATTTAGCTGTTGTAGGTACCTGTAGAATAAATAACAGTTAAAATAATAAATAAATAATAGTTAAATAGGCGAGAAGAGGCTTAGTCGACCAAAATTGTATTAGTCGCAGAATTTTTTTTTTTTTTTAAATCCACGCAGTCCGTGACGGCTAGTCTTTGTGGTTATCCAGTATATCGGGAAGGACATCCAAACGTTCGCCTATCATTCATCAACCTCAAATATGGCTTATCATCTGAAATATGTTGGTAGCAGCAACTTTACATGGCCGCTTAATCTAATATTAACCTAGAAAAATGTGCACTATTCAAGTGTCTGTGCGGAGTGTGAAAGGTGAACAGTAGCGCGCTCACTGCATGACAGATGGAGGCGCTGGTACGCCATTATACTTGCCTTACAGACATGAAAAATATATCTTTAGAGAGTGAAATGTCTACTTTCAAGTGAACCAATTCAAATGGAAAACAAATATTCTCAGATTATGTAATCCGAATGAAATGTGCATGGCGCAACCTATACTGCAGAGATGACTAGTCAGTGTTGCCGACTTAATCTCTTAAACCGAAAAAAGAAATCACTAGTTTATCAATAAATTCCTAAAATGTTAATGCAGCAAAGCCTATATATTTTGACATGAATATGCTTTTCGTTTGCTTTTGGTCCAGTCCCACGGTCAGTCAAATCAATTTCTCTTGATGAAAATGTCCAGGAGACATTGTAACCGTGCAGTCACAAGCTTTCTTCACATATGCATGTACACATATGTGATCATGCAAAAGCAGTCAGCTTTCAGACAGCGAGCAGGTTACCACCAAACTGACTTGGTTCTCAGTATCACCATCAGTCAATTTTTATATATTTTTTAATTACTATAGAGTCAACCGATTCAAATTTTTTTGACATCACTATTCATATGCATCCTCAGTAGGTTCAAGCCTTGAAAATAGCACTATTACTCACACTTCTTCAGAGGAGGAGTCTTTGTCTGCTTTCATACCCTCTGACAGACTGCCTTTGAACTTGTCTTCATCCCGACTTCGCCTCCTCCTCCTCTCACGCTCTCTGGAGGTGGATCGTCGTGGTCTGGAGCGGCCAAACCGGTCCCTTTCAGCAGACCTGCCAAAACAGAACAGTTAATTACACAAATAACTAACAGCACTATCACACTGAACTGAGATTCATTGACAAACACTACAGTTCATAATAGTGACGCTCATAATGACTGTTTAAAATAGGAATTTTGACCAATTAATACCAGTCTGCTGCATGATTAAGAAAAAAAAAAAAGCTATATATATTTAAATTACAGGGCATGTAGGCACGTGTCTACAGATATATTTCGCTGAGCAAGCACCTGCTCCACTTTCACTTAGTTAACTTAATTGGTAAATGCAACATAATGGCAAGTGGCAAAATTGGATAAATGGTTATCAGAGAGTGAATCCATGAGTGAATGCATTCAAATTCTAAATGGATTATAGCCTATAAAACGTGCAAAGGTGCGCTACTCTCGTAATCACAAAAAAAAACAAAAAAAAAACTATCATTCATCTTAGTTCATTGCGATCTCAAAGTTCCGTTAATTAAAGAAGCTCTACACTGCACTTCTTGAGCATGCAGAACTCAGCAGCACTAAACAAAACTACCACGTTTTGAACAGTGAGTGGATTATAATTTAACCACCACTGATTAGCAATTACGTTCATGTAATCAACAGATATGACTGTGACTGGCTACAATGCTCAACGCTAGAGGTCGACCGATTTTTTTGCATTTTTTTAATTAATCGGCATCGGCCGATTGTGCTGCAAATTAGGCCGATTTATAGGCAAGCACATCTGCGGGCAGCTAAGCGTTGTTGCGGAACGCCGGAGAATCTCTCACTCGCTGCGTGAGAGACGGAGCAACTCACACTCTGTAGCCACTTCTTGTTCACACACAGCTTCAGCTAATGATGGCAGGGCAAAACAGACCGTTTCGAAAGCGTAATTACGTTTTA